AAATTTTTTAAATTTTTTTTTTCCAAATTTTGGTAAAAGATTGTTTCAATTTCCATTTTGAATAGCAAATTTAAACAAAAAAAGGCCCAAATTTAAATTTCTAAATCCCAAGGAACTTATCAATGAAAAGTTTAAATAATCATCCAAGAGATTCATTAAAAAATTTTTGGTTTTTTTTAATTGCAATTTCATATATTTATTCTTTATATTTATTTTCAACAAAACTTATCAAATTTGGTTCCATGGAATGACTTCTTGAGATTCATAAGAAATTTCAAAATTTTTTTTAAATATTAGGAAAATTAATAACAAAGTGGAAAATTTTTTTTTTCATGTGATGTATTTCTAAATTGATATTTTATTTTTTTTAAAATTCAATGAAGGTCCTGACATGGCATCTCAACTTCAGTCACCACTTCCTCACCATCATCATGATGGCTTCCCTCTATCTTTTCTCCAAATATTTTCATAGCAATTTTTTCTGATGAGCTTAATGCCTTGACTACATGAATTTACTTGTATTACAAGATTGGCAACTAGATATCACCGTTTTACTGTTAAACAAGCTAGATACAAGCATCAGTTTTATTCTAATAGCTTCTTTTCATGTACTTCTGAATAATGTTAATAACACACTTCTAATTTTGTTTTTTCCCTGCCACCTATTGTAATTTTCAAAAATTTAATTCAACATAAAGTGCCATCTTCTGATTCCTGAATTCTGTTATATATTGTCCAAATAAAAATATTTCCAAATTTTGATTATTCTATTTAATATCATAAACCAACCGTATCCTAGTTCGATTGAAATTTTTTTGCTTGGGATGAAATGATTTAAATAAAAAAATAAATAAAAATAAAGTTTAATATTTCCGCATCCCCTCACCTTCATTTCATTTGTAGCGTTAATGATGGAAAAATCATTTTACATTAATGAAGACCTAAAAGATTGAAAATATCATACAAAAATCCCTTTCTTTGTCAATATTCAATTTTTAAAACATTTTTTTTCTGTTTTGGTACAGGTGCATGAGCACACGCAAATAAACTATGAAAAAGAAAAAAATGCATATAAAAAAAGAAAAATTGAGAAGTATAAGCAGTCAATAGCTGATAGCTTCTGATGAGAGGATGGAGTGATTCCTGGACAGTCTACAAAACTATGGAATTGCGACCTGAAAACATTTTCCTCAAAACTGCAAACACAAACCTTTCAACTTGTATTATTATTATTTATTATATATATATATATATATATATATATATATATTATCATAAAATGTTTAACATTATATATATATATATTAAAAAAATAAACACAAATTATATATATATATATATTTATAATTGAAA